CGCACCTTATTAACATGTCTTTCATGGAGTCCAAGATTGCCGACGCCAGGTGTACACTAAGATCCCTCCCATTCCTAAAAAACCGCAAATTTTGCTCCTAAATCTTTTCGTTTCGAGTCCTCCGAATACTCTCTTCTGCCGCTGGTGTTTCTTATCCGTTTTAGTCGATATTATTCTACAACGACAATTCAATACGGTCAACCAGTTTGCTGGTCGGATTATAGATGACGGTGGCGTCGGTAATGCCACTTTCCCTTTTGGCTCTGACATCAGCGATCCGGTTGGTTTTATAGGGGGGTGCTCCAGTCTTCACTTCTTTTCTTCTGGCCAGTCGGCTATGCGCGGTGTCTCACCACCACTCGCGTGTGATTTTCGCGTGCATATTTGCACGCCCCAGCAAGATGACGAATGGCATTCATCTTCCTTGCAACAAGGACCTGGTACTCCTATAGTCGCTTCCATTCATACTGCCTTATTCTTCCCGTTCATAAATAGAAAATACTTATTTCCTATAGAACTATCTTTAAAATCCACTGTTAGTGGCTTAGTATGAAAACGACCTTTCAAAAATACTACTGTTATCCATAAGACCGAGTGGCCTTCTTATAATTATTATTTTATGCTACAATGTTTTTTGTTACGTGTTACGGGTAATAATCCACTACTAAATTACACACACGCACATGGCATACACCCCGTCCAAGTCAAACAACTACATTCGTTTACATCTCGTTCGCCTGGAAGCGCCACTACCTGGCAATAAATTACTGACTCCTACAGTCGGCGCCTCGACTGTTCATATGAAAACGTGTTTCAGTTGTTTTGCATCAGATCCATTAGTTGGAGAGTCCTACGTACTCCCACCCCCACGTATACCTCCAAAAATAAAAGAGCAGGTCATATACGTACATGTAACTCCCATACCAACCCACTAATAGTTCAGCGAGGCCATTAGTGTAACTGCCGAACAGAATATTCTGGACAGATCAGTTGATAAAATTAGTTTTCAGCAAGCCTCCATTAGAAATGTGATGTGAAAAAATAGTCCGAAATTGCGCGTTTTGTGTGCACAATCGGTGCATCTTACTCGTCCAGCTAATGGACTGTCTGGATGTCGGAAATTCGGACATGGCACAAAACATGACCTGTTAAATCAAGTAACAGGGGCTGGGGCTGACTTCTAGTGTGATTGCGAAAAGTTCCAAGTAAGAGTTGAAAAGGAGAATTCCAAATTTCTTAAACTAGGAGGGAATTATTCTCCAAAGGATCTTCCATGGGCAATACTACATAATTTCTTTAAAGCTCACAAAAAACCCCGAACGATAACAATTTGCTCCCTCGAACTCTGAAATACGAAAAGTCTTCAGACGGAAATGCGAATTTCAGCGAATTCGTACTATCGGGCGGCTTCATCTTCGAAATGGTTCATAAATTCTGAAGGCAGAAGTTTGCCAAACCTACCCTTTTCCAGGGTTCTTCAAGTACGCGAACATTTCAGAAATGAGTAATGAACACTAATTGAAATTTTGCTTTTCTTTTTTTAAAAAGCCGTGTTAAAGAAACAAACGATGTTATGCGAATTTTGGACAAGCATGAATAAACGTCAGAACATACATGAATAGAACTTGCAAATCAAACGATTTTTTAGCGCATCTGACATACCAGATTGCCTATTCAACTTTATTTGTTAGCGAGACGGAAGTATGGCACGAGATATTCACTCACGCGTTTAACATGCCTTAAAAGGTTCTCCGAAACTGAAACTTAACGAAATTTTTAATAACACTTTTTGTACGTTTCAGGTGTGTGGGCACTTCAAAACCAAGATATTCCTTTACTCCTACGCGGGAAAATAACTTTGCCAGGTAAACGCTGCAGCTGCTTTGGACTTTGACCTTTTCCTAGTCGGCTGCGTCCGGATTAAAAACCTTGTGCAAAAACACACCGAACTCCTGAT